AAAAAAAAAAAAAAAAAAGAATATGATTTAGAGGAATATTACAGATATCCCTTGAAAGTTGTCCCAACTCAGTGACTTGACTGATTTTCAGTAGCTTGCCAGGCCTTACTTCCTAGCCTACCTTAGTCTAAAATCTGTACAAATACCTGCTCAACATTATACCAAGCTTCCAACTGGTAGATGGGTCATGGTTGCCTGTGAGGTGCATAGGCCAGTAATCACACCCAGGTCCTCCAAGCACAGTGAGAATTCTAACACTGAACTATCAGTGTCCCTTTTTAACTATACATAAACCTTTTTAAATGTCATTTCCCTCTTTTGTGAATAGCCATAGAGAGGAAAGGAAAGGCAACAGACACTTTGCGTTTTTCTTGACAACAATGTCCAATTTTAGGCTCAAGCACCAGAACAAATAGTGACATTATATGAAGATGAACAGTATCCAGTGCATATGCCATTAGTAGAAATGGGGCTTGCAGAGAGAGATGACTGATGTAAGTATATTAAAATTCTGTTCTCCCTATTAATCAGCATGACTTAAGACTTTCATAGCAAAGATTAATGTTAAATTGCTCATAAAGCACCACAGATTCCAGAAGAATCTTTCTTCAACTTTCTTCTCCTTAGAACTTTCTCACCTATTGAGCACCAGCACCAGAGATGGGCTGGGCTGTCTTGGTACCAGTAGGGTAAACAGTAGGTATGTAAACTCATAACTACCTCCAAGACATAAAATGCTACTGAAGCCACCAATGCCCTAGTAACAAAGGGAAGTAGTTGGGTTAACTCTGTGTCACAACAATGTAATGAGTGCTTTGACAACTAGGTTTAAACATTAAGCAAAGGTTTAAAGTAGTAACCTGTATTTTATTTTTTCAGGTATATTGCATACAGGACAGCATCTGTAGGGAGCTCAGAAGAGTTTCGCTTGGATCTTTTCAGCTTATTTTTCTTGACTTGTCCTACAATAGTGCTTTTTTCGTTTGTTTGCTTTTTCTACATGTTGAACCACTAGGAGTTGTTTGGAAACTATCTGAAAACATGGTTAATAAATATTTGTTTTCAAAACTTGCTTTAGAATATTTTCTCATTTTATTTTACTATAATCTGAAGCTGAAGTATTTTGATGTTGTGGTTGTTGTTGTCATTGAATTGGTTCAGACTCACAGTGACCCTATGTGCAATAGAAGGAAACACCACCCAGTCCTGCGCCAACCTCACAATTGTTAAGTTTAGAGCCCATTACTGTAACCACTATGTCAATCCATCTGATTGAGGGCTTTCCTCTTTTTTTCTTCTTCTCCCCTTTACCAAGCATGATGTCCCTCTCCAAGGACAGGTCCCTCCTGATAACTTGCCCAAGACACATGAGACAAAAGTCTTACCATCCTTGCCTCCAAGGAGCATTCTAGCTGTACTTCTTCCAAGACAGATTTGTTTCTTCTGGCAGTCTGTGGGACTTTCAATATTCTCCACCAACACCATAGTCAAATGCATTGATTTTTCTTTGGATAAGTACAACATGAGTCCACTGAGGTAAGCTTAAAAAATGGGACATAGGGGAAAAGCTACTATATACATACATTCCTGGGGTGAGGCCCAGGTACTATAGCAGGGGCCAAACCCAATCCAGGGATACATACAGCAGCCAACTAAATAGAAGGGGGAAAGAAAGAGAAAAAAAGACGTGGGTAGGCGGGGAGCAGGGCACTAACCCACACAAAGGGAGGGTATTGTTTATATCTCCACAGGAGAGGGAGACAGACCCGATGTGCCAAGACATGAATACAACATACCGGCATGTACCAGGGAACCAATAAAGAGGTCTGCAGGGCCAGCCCCAATCCCAGCTATGTGGTATCCACCCACCCACCCCACCCCCATCTCCAGAAGAATTCACTTCAGAGGATAGCACTGAACTTACAGCTTGGGGAGAGGGGCACGTCTGATTAGAGCACACAGGAAAAATAGAGGGAGGGGAACACATCCTGTCCCACCAAGCCCCGAGGACAATATTCCTGCTCAGAACAGACAATACACAGGACCATAGGGATGGCCCCACCGTGAGACCATCCCTCACTGAACTAAAGTGCTACAGGGGACAACATTGGAGATACAGTGCAGAAATTGTGCCCCATCTGACCCCATCACATTGGGGCAAAACACTAACGGTGTGCAACAGCAGCAAGGGGAGCAAGGCAATGCAATCACCGGGAAATACCAAAAACAGACTTTGGGGACAGTGTGGCACCCCATCAGACTCCACTGGAAAACACTCCTAAAGGTCAAAAAGCAGACCAGGAACTATTTATAGGTTTTTCCCTTTTTTGTCATTGGCTTTTTGTTAGTTTTGTCTTCCTTTGTTCTATTTGGCTTTGCCTGGTTTTTGTGCTTGTTGATGTCTCTGCTTGTCTATATAAGATAGGCGGGATACACAATTCGGAGGTGAAAACTGTGGAACCGATGGCTCGAGGGGGACATGGGAGAGTGGGAGGTGGGAGAAAGAAAGGTCAACCAGACCAGGGACAAGGGAACAACAAGTGAACTAAAATCAATGGAGAGAAGGGTGTAGGATGCCTAATGGGGCTTAATCAAGGGTAATGTAACAGCGAGGAATTACTAAACTAGAATGGAGGCCAAACATGAAAGTGAGACAGGAGGAAAGTGGAAGGAAATAGAGGAAAGTACTAGGAGACAAAGTACATTTGTGGAGGTCTAAATACAGGCATGTGCATATGTAAATATATATAACAATAGGGAAATAGATCTATGTACTGATATCTATGTGTTAAGAATTAAGGTAGCAGATGGACATTGGGCCTTGACTGAAGTACTCCCTCAACACAAGAACACTTTGTTCTAATAATCCAGCATTCTGTGATGCTCACCTTCCCGACACGAGATCGCTGAGCACAAAATGGGTGCATGGGCAGGTATGGTGAGGAAGGCTGATGATGCCCAGCTGTTGAAGGATGTGGCGTCTGGGGTCTTGAAGGCTTGAGGATAGACAAACAGCCATCTGGCTGAGAGGCAGCAGTGAAATCCTGTTTCACATCCTCATCTGAATCCAGCCCGAACCTCTGGCAGCTCCCTGTCAATGTACTGCTATAACCATTATTGGAAGATAACAAAAGTTTACTTGCATGTGCTATCAATTTTGTTGTATGAGTATCTTGCTGGGTCACCTTTCTTTGGAATAGGTACAAATATGAATCTCTTCCAGGCAATTAACCAATTAATCACTGCTGATGTTAGCTGGATCTTGGCTCAAAGCAGAGAATACCAGAAATGTGTTTTCTTATGTTTCATAGCAATGCAAAGGCATTTGATTCTGTGGATCAAAACAAACCATGGATAGCTTGCCACAAGTGGGAATTCAAGAACACATAACTGTGCTCATGTGGAACCTGTGAAAGGCATGGACCAGTAAGTGCTTCCAGTGTTTCACCAGCTTGTGGAAACATTTCAAGTGGCATTTCATCAATTCCCGAAGCCTTGTTTTTGGCTAATGCTTTCAGTACAGCTTGAACTTCTTCCTTCGGTACCATCATTTCTTGCTCATATGCTACCTTCTGCAATGGTGGAATGTTGAGTAGTCCTTTTAGGTACAGGGACCCTGTGGAGTCTTATCTCTTTTTGAAGCTTCCTGCTTCAGTTAATAGTTTATACACAAAATCTTAACAATATTGAAACTTGAGATTTTAATTTTTTCAGTTTCAGATATGCTGAGCATGTTTTTTGTTTTTCTAACTCTAAATGTTTGCACATTTAATTATATTTTACTTTGTTTTCTTGTGCTATAATTTTTTTAAATCATTTTATTGGGGCTCATACAACTCTTATCACAATCCATACATACATCAATTGTGTAAAGCACACATATACATTTGTTGCCCTCATCATTCTCAAAGTTTGCTTTCCGCTTGGGTTCCTAGAATAAGCTCATTTTCCTTTTTCCCCTCCCCCGAGCTATAATTTTTTTGTTCAGCTCCTTGAATTTAGCATTTCTTCCATTTGCCTTAGCTACACTATGATTTGCACTTCTGACATCCACTTGACCTTTTTTTCCCCCCTTCCTGTCTTCTTAATGACCTTTTGCTTTTTTCAGGTATGATCTTGATGTCCTCCCACTGCTTATCAGGTGTTCTGTCATGAAGCGTTCAATGTATCAAATCTGTTCTTGAGATGTTCTGAGAAAGCAAGTGGGGTATACTCAAGGTCTTATTTTGGCACTTGTGGACTTGCGTTAATTCTCTTCAACTTGAATGTACCTATGAGCAATTGATGGTCTATTCCAGTCATCCCCTGGTCTAATTTTAGCTGCTGAGCTTCCCACAAATGCAGTCGTTTTATTTCTGTGTATTACATCTAGAAAACTCCCCCAAGTATAGCCACTGTTTGTGTTGGGGGAAAAAGGGGTGGGGGGTATTTGCTATAAACGAGGCGTAAGTCTTGCAAAATTCATGAGATCTCAATTCTGTCAACGCCACCATATTTTCCAAATACTGTTCCTTCCTCTTTATTCCAACTTTGCATTCCAATTGCTAATTATTATTAATGAATCTTCATTGCATGTTTGATCAGTTTCAGACTTAAGACATTGGTAGAATTCTTTGATTCCTCACTTTAGTGGTTAGTGCATAAATCTGAATAGTATTTGTATTGGTTGCATTTTTTTAAATCAGACAACATTGTACTTCAAGATAGAACTTGAAATGCCATTTTGATGAACGCTACACCATTCCTCTTGATCGTTTCATCCCCAGCTTAGTAAATTATGATTTTCTGATTCAAAATAGCCAATACCAGTCCATTTCAGCTTAGTCTGGAAACTGTTAAGATCTATCCAGTTTGGGTGACACTGTTGGTATTTGAAATACCACGGACACCTTTCAGCACCTCAGCAACATACAAGCCACCACAATAAAACAACCTGACAGACAAGTGGCAGGAAGTATTGTAGGCACGTGAAAAAATGTACTAGTTCATCTTAGAATTGTGTATATCCAGTTTAAGGAATATGGGCATCATCACGAAAGGTCCCTTTGGTACTCAACCCCATCACATTCGCACCACCTTTTCTGTAGAGGTGACTGACCATTACTGTTTATTTGGCGATTATTATTCTCCTATGGGTCTTTATAATTTTACTATATATGAATGCATCCATACGTGAAGTGTAGTGTTTTTTTAATGTATACTGTAGCACAATTATTTTTTATTCAATTTTATGTGTTTATTCATGATGATAATGTATAGCTGTTCCTCTGTGTGCACACAGAATAAATCGATTCTGTTGTGAGAGTTGGGATGTACTAGCTTTATATTGGAATTAATTCTGTAGGACTGCTTGTGAGAGCATGTCTAGTGTATACACATCAGATTTGCTCTCCAAAAGCAGTTTTACCAATTTACACTATCAACAATAATAGTATTAGGTTCCTGGCAACTTGGTGTTGCTAGATGATTACTGTCAGTATATGCAATTAGCATAAAAAAGTATCTCACAGGTTAAAATGTGCATTCACTGATTCAGTAGTTAGTGTGGTGAGGTAGTTTTCCAATGATCACTTGTTCATATCATTTGCCTACTTTTCTGTTGAGTTTTTTGTAGGTTTTAGTTAGGAATTTAGTTGTTTGTTATGATTTATAAAACTGTCGGCCATAGTCTGGGTTTGTACTGTTTCATGTGATATCTTTTAATGAAAGTTGAGGCTGTCTGCTCCCGTAAAGATTTATAGCCTTGAAAACCCTATATAGGGTCAGTATAAAAAGCAACAAAACAAAACAAACTCACTGGCATCGAGTCACTTCTGATCAGTGGAGGACAGGCCAGAACTACCCCTTTGGGTCTCCAAGGCTGCTAACTGTTTACAGGAGGAGAAAGCCACGTCTCCATCAGTATCTCTTGACACAATGGCAACCATGGGTTTTGATGACTAGACTTACCAGTCTTTCCATTAAGGATTGTGCTTTTAGTATTTTGGTAATAAATCTTTCCCTATTCTAAAGTAATTGAACTCAATTGTAATCTAAATTTTTTAAAGTTTTGCCTTTCATATTTTCTTAAGTCATCTAGGATTTATATGCTTAACTTTTTCTTTTAACTGAACATTATCATCATTTAAGTCATACAGTACTAAATGAGTAGGCAAGCTCTATCTAGATCAGTCGGTATTATATAAATTCACCTGTACGTGGATTGCCATTCCATCAAGGACATCTGACTCCCATTAACTTACAAATCTGATAAGTTAAAGCATTAATGTGGTTGTGGTATAACCACTGGCTATTTTTTATGCATCCTTCACTCTGAAGTGTCCCGTGAATTACAGTCACCCCTAGTTACTGCTTCCTCCTGACTGTAAGATTAGCTGTACTGAAAGAATGAACTTTCACCTACTTTATTCCTTGACTCATTTGTATTCATTGTCTTAACCCCGGTTCATTAAAGAACCTCTGTAGTACATCATGTGCTTTAACTTGAGTACGAAGGAAATACAGTAATGTTTTGGCTACGGAGAGATTCACTTGCTCTTTGTTAAACTTTCTCTGCAAGTCCACATTCTGATGTGCCTGTGGGGTATCTCATACTTCTGGGTTCTTATAATGAAAACAGTCCTTGTGCTTTTCAAAAAAAGGAAGACACTTATAAACTTCAAATCCAAACATCTTTATCATTTGCAGACACACACACATATACAGAGCACACATAAATTAAATAACAGAATCCACAGGAAGTAAACATTTTCAACAAGAAAATCAAGTTAGTGTTATTCCATGATTAACCAAGGATCATGACAATTTTGTATCCATTAGAACATTACCATCTTTGTCTTTAACTCTTACTCGACCAGATGTATATTTCGTCTCTTGATGACCATTTGCATACACGGTTTTAACAGTGCCGTCTGGATACTCTCGTCTCTTAAATTGGGTGGTATGTAGCTCTCTTTGGCCATTATTAAATTCTATGATTTTGTTGCCATCACTGATTAAAATAAAATTTAGTTTCTTAAGAAATATATCTCATACAACAGGTGAATTTAAATTTAAAATATACAAGGATTTAAAAATAACATTTTGAGTCTGACAATCGTTTCTTACTCTGGAGTCACCAACTGGTACTTTTTCATGAATAACACCTTCTTTGCATGTTCTTTCCACAATGCTTTGCTGCTTAGACTGATAGTTGTAATTCTAACATTAGTACTTACGTGCCCATGAAAGCTCGTTTTCATAAATTTATCTTTTCACCATAAAAACATTTGTTTCATTTTTACTTTATGTTCTTTTGCTTCCTCTTTTGAAGAGGAGGAGCCCTGGTGACATAGGGGGCTTCCATATACACGGGGCTGCGAACCGCCCATCAGCTGTTCAATGCCACCAGCCACTCCACATGAGAAAGATGAGGTTTTCTACGCCTACACGGAGTTACAGTCATAGGAACCCGCAGGGACAGTTCTACCGTCCTGTGGGGTCACTATGAGCTGGAATCACCTTGATGGCAGTGCATTTGGAGTTTTAAGAAAAGGTGCCAAGCGCAGAATGAAGCTAAAAACCATTTGGCTGCTTGCTCTTGCATGAGTGGGAAAGAGAGCCATATTCCTGAGAAAGAGGCTTTGATCTGGTTTTAACTGTTTTCAAGCAGGTAGGACTAAGAAAGAGATTGTGAAAAATGACTGCTTGATGTACCTCTATTTGACCGGAACTCCTAAACAAAGGTATAATGTGCAGTTACAAATACAAGACTAGGCCTGCGTTTGGTATCCTCACTTTTGAATGTATAAGGACAGGTAGTAGGAGTGAGTGATGTGTTTTTCGACTTTGTGATTTCTCACACAAGTGTTAGATTCAAAAGCCATTCTGAGATCCATGGTTTTAAATAGTAAAGCGCCTAAATCAGCAGTACTGGCAGCACCTAAGAAACAAAGCTGGAGATGGCATGAAGAGACTAGTAATTGCTCATATGCAAGTTCAGGCTAAAGAAACTGAAGAGCAAGTCTTAAGAGAGCCAAAATATGGCCTTGAGTACCTCCCACCTGAATTTATAGAGACCATTTCAAAAGGAGATTTGATACACTGAACAGTAATGACTAATAAAAGAATTAGGTCAGAGAAACTACATGGGTGAAGTATTAGGCTGGGGCAGGGAGATAAAGAATTTCAAGCCATAGGCAAGAGAAGAGAGACCCAAACAAACACACAGTCACCACTGTTGGGCCACTCTTAACAAGCGACAGGGCACTCATCTTTTTCACTGGCTCCGATTATTTCTGCACAAATACTTGTCCTTTCACAGAATTCCTGATAGAGTTACTTTCAAAGTATTGGTTAAAGATGTAGCTGTCTACAGGAAAATGATTACCAAGAATGTAAGTCTCAAACTTTCTCACCTGTCCTGAAAGTGTCAGGTTTAGTTTGTCACTGAAATGTTGAATGTCTTCTAAGTATATAAATATGTTCTATTTTAAAAAACCCATTTGGTAAGGAAAGTTGAATCAGGAAGCTGAATTTAATAAAGTATCTTACCTTTGTACTCTGACAATTGTACCATCTGGAAAAATGCTTTCTTCTTGTCCATCAGCAAGTAAGTTTTTAATAGTCTGATCAGGAAATGTGATTTCTTTTCTTCCATCTGGGAAATGTTTTTCTGTGTTAAAAAAAATAAATAAAAGTATAATTATTTTTTAAAAGAAAAGAATTTTATAAGGCAAGGGAAAGCAAGTTCTTACCTATTTGTCCACTTGAGAAATGTAGAACTTCTAGTCCTTCTGGATAAGTGGTGTGAGTGGTCTGGGCAGCAGCGTAGTAATAGATCTGGAAAAACACAAAGAGCCAACGTAGCCTCTTCTCCCAGCTTTTTAAGCGACACTGGTAAGCATCGCTGCGTATACATACATACCACTCTCTCGTCTGGCATGACCTGCTTCACGTCACCATTAAAGAAAGTGACGGTGAGCGTCTTCCCATCTGCACTCACTTCTTTCCGAGTGCCATTTGGAAACAATATGACATGGCTCCCATCCTGGAAAACCTTTTCTACCTGAAAACAGAAACCCCAATCATCAGTGTACATGAATTCATCCTGAAACCACAAGACAAAAATAGCTCCAATTCTCTTAATTGCCAACTTTGAAATTTCTCATAGCAAAAAAGTCAAAACACTCTCTCAAAAAGCAAAGAATAGCATAATAAATTCTCAACTATCAGCCTGAAGTACTTACACAATACCATACTTCTGTCAGTTATTGCCCCCAAACAAACTCATTTTTTGCCAGTTTTTAAAAGCAAATTACACACATCACTTTATTTGGTAAATAGTTCAAAACTGAAATACTTGTACAATGGAGGGATTTTAAACATAACCAAAACCATAATCACACTTAAACAAACTGTTAATTCCTTGGCCACATAATGATCCCCAGGTTGTTTTCCCCAAACTTCCCAAAATGGCTTTTCACAGTTGATTTGAATCACAATCAAAACAAGGCCCAGACAAAACGCTTGGTGGTTAAGTCTCTCAAGTTTTAATCTCTAATAGTTTTTCCCTCCCCCACCCTACCCTCCTTTTAAAATATTAAAGACCTGGGTCATGAACCTGTAGAGTGTTCACATTCTGGATTTGGTCGACTGCTTCCCGGGAAGTGGTGCCATTAACATGTTCTGATAGCCTCATATTTCCAAAAAAACTAGATCCAGGGGCTTGATTAAATTCAAGTTGAGTCCTTTTGACAATACTTTGTAGGTGCTACTGTATGCTGCTTATTGCAACATTCTTGGAGGAATAGTTTGGGGTGGTTCTATTGGTAATGGGCTTGGGTCTAGTCAAGTGTAAGTAATATATCAGCCCTTAGTAACCATTCCTCTAATGATCTCAGTAAGCAATGATAACTGTTCCTAGACCCTTTATTTCATTAGAGGTTACAAACCAGTGATTTTCTAATTCCTTATCGATTTATTAGCTGGAATTATTCTAAAACAGAAAAAGAAGAGTCAAAAGTTAGGCACTTCCTGTACAAACTCTACTTATTGTAACTTGAGTTTGTAAAGGAAAAGCCTAATTGCTTCCTTTTGACTGCTCTTTTTCCATCTGTGGACTTTGACTTTATCATTTCCATTAATGAATCAAATTAAGGTATTTCAAAAAGTTAATTTTCCATAAGTATGAGGAGAAAAAAAATTCCTTCATAGCCTCCCATTTAACAAAACCCACATTATGTCCTTGGCTCCTCCTCCTCCTCTTCTGCTAACCAGGCAGTCTTCCCATTCAAGGACTTTTCTAAGAGTAAGAACAGAACTGTATACCTGCACATGGAAAGAGAGGCACCTGACCCTCCAGGGTGAGCATAAAAAGTCTTCAGGAAAGTTAGGGTTTAGAATTAACTGAGATCTCACGCGCGAAGGAGTCCTAAAGCCATCTTAGCCATGTATGGAGTAAATCCAAAGAGTTAAAGGTCTGTAATCTTCCTTCTGATTCATCGCAATTTAAAAGGGTAACTACGTGGATGTTGTGCACTATGCATTTTTAGGAGTCCAAAGGTTTGAACTAGGTTACGCACAAAGTTCTTAATCATTATAAACATTCTTAACTATTTTAGGATTTAAATATTAAAACTTAATTTTACCCATGTTTTTTTTCGGGGGGGGGGGCAGCATCCACTGTATTTAAAAAAAAAAATGTTTTAACCTTTCCATCAGGATAACTGATTTCTCCCTGAATTTTCTCTTTTTCATCCTCTTCTTTATATCCAGGATCTGGGAATTTCATGGGTTCAAATGGCTCCCTGGTTGAAGTAACCTGTAAAGAAAGAATCCCTCAGGACAAACCAAATTCTCACATCATAGTGTTATAGAACTAGTGGTTTGTGTTAAATATACAAGCTTCAGAAACTTAAGATAATCAAGTTCATACCTGATAAGTTTCTTCTCATTTTAAAAAATAAATCTAATTAATTTACCTTATCATATAGAAATATTTTAAAAAGATTTACTTGTCCCATGTCGAAATTGCCTAAATCACAAGGAAGTATAGACTTCGGTCTTTGAGATGGATTGCCTGTTGGAATATAATTTTCAGTTAGATTTCATTGAAAAATTTTAAATTTACTAGTTTGACCAAATCTTTCTTCTGTGAATTACTTTGTTTTACCCATTATTTAAGGAAGTCAAAAAATTTTTTTTAATTTGTAGGGGTTCTTCATTATTTAAATCCAAATTAGTTGGGTTTCTATATATCAGCACTGAGTATTCTGAAAAGGAAACCAAGAACTCAAATTTATTTATGTTACCACCTCAGGTCAGTAAGAAAAAAAAACAACACCTAGATATAAATTTAACCAAGGAAGTGAAATACTTGTACAATGATAGGTACATAGACTAGAGAACCCAGACATAAATTCATTCACCTACAGAAAACTGGTCTTTGAAAAAAAAAAAAAAAAAAATATATATATATATATATATATATATATATATATTAGATGGGAAAGTCTCTTCAACAAATGGTGCTGGCAAAATTGGATTTTTATCTATAAAAGGATGAAACGGGAGCCATATCTCACCCCATGTACGAAACACAAACTCAAGATGGATCAGAGACCTAAATATCTAAGAACTATCCATCAATGAAAAAAATAAGGGCCCTACTACAGGATATAGACACACTATCAAATATGACCAAGGAAATACAGTAGATGACAAAATAGATGACTAGGACCCAAGACATCACGTGCAGCAAAAAACTTCATTAAAAGTAAAAAGGCCCAAGGAGTGCTAAAAAAAAAATTTGACAACTACACAATGGACAAGGGGCAAATCTCTAAGATCTGTAGAAAACTGCAGCATCTCAGTAAGAAACAACCCAATTAAAAAGTAGGCGAAGAACATGAACAGACAGTTCACCAAAAATAGCATCCAAATGGCAGCAAACATGAAGAAATGCTCAGAATCACTAGCCATCTGGGAGATCCAATTCAAAGCAATGATGAGATACCACCTTATTCCAACAATGACAGCCAAGTTCAAAAGACCAGAAAGCAGATGCTGGATAGAGTATGAAGAAATTGGAACCCTTATCTACTGCTGTGTTGGGTCTGGTAAATATGTACAACATTATGAAAAGCAAAATGGCACTACTTAAAACAACTGGGAATAGAAATCTCATGCAATCCAGCAATACTTCTGCTGTGTCTATACCCTAAAGAAGTAAGCGCCATACTGAGAACAGACAGATGCACACCCATGTTCACTGTGGCGAGAAGTTGGAAACAAATACCCAGCAGTAGAAAAATGGTTAAAGACGTTTTGGAACTTAGACACCATGGAATACTATACTTGACTAAAAGCATGGATAAACCTAGAAGTACCCGTGACATGGATGGACCTGGAGAATATTGGGCTGATGAAGTTGGTCAATAACAAAAGAAGCAAAAGCTGCTATGAGACCACGACTAGAAAGGTAAGAACCAGGACCAAGACTTACATACCAAGGGGACAGGCTTTAGTGGCCGCCAAGAGGAAGAGGACCAAGGAGGGAAGAGGAAACCACGGGCTGGAGGGTCGTCAGGTGTTAACTTTGGTGCCTGCGAGGATGGAGGGCCATGAAGGAAAGGAGAAATGGAGGAGGAGGAGGGGTAGACCGCTGGGGCACGAGGGTGATGAGTGGTTTGAACTGTTGATTACAGAGCTGATGGCCTGAAATATAACCCCCCACCTAAAATTCACAATTAAAAAAATCTTTTAAAAATAAAATGGAATGCATAAAGATCAATATCCCATGTATTAGTGAGTTTTACGTGGAACAGCGGTGACCATTTTGAATCAATTAAGTACAGTATATACTCAAGTATAAGCCGAGTTTTTCTTTTTCTTTTAGCCGAGTTTTTCAGCACATTTTTTATGCCATTTTTGTGGTAAAATTAGGTGCCTTGGCTGATATGACGGTCGGCTTATACTCGAGTATATATGGTACTTTTCTATGCCAAGAATGACAAATTGAGAGGAATGTACCAAATTTATCTTCAAAATGAACATTTCAAGATCTTGAGGTACAATGCTGATCACTGTTATAAAAGCCAAAAAGAATCAGGGAAAGGTTTTCATACCAAAAGAAACCAGGTTACCAGGGAAGGAGCAGCAATCGGCTAGAGCAGCGGTTCTCAACCCCTTTGGGGTTCGAACGACCCTTTCATAGGGGTCGCCTAATACCATTGGAAAACACATATTCCCAGTGGTTTTAGGAACCGAGACACCGCTCCTCTATCCGTCTCCAGGTGAGTCCGCCCACATGCAACACGCTGATCTGGTGAGAAAGAAGCGATCTCAGCCCTTGCACTGACATTGGCTTTTTTTGCATTCTGTTGCAAAATGCAGCAATGTAATTTACTGTTGTTATATTACAACTGTTACCCAAGCCACACCATGCTTCAAGACAAAATTTTATTTATTTGTCATTAGAATATTTCACAATATAGAATTACATATTGTTTTTGTTATGTCTTTATGATTTAATTATGTTCAATTTGTAACAATGAAAATACATCCTGCATATCAGATATTTACATGACGATTCATAACAGTAGCAAATTACAGTGATGAAGTAGCAACGAAGATAATTTTATGGTTGGGGGTCACCACCACATGAGGACCTGTATGAAAGGGTGGTGGCATGAGGAATGCTGAGAACCACTGGGCTAGGAGGAGAAGGTAATAAGACACAAGAGGGAGACGGGAGAAGGGGGCAAATAGGGAAGGAGGGAGGCGCAGGCAAAGGTGAGGGGACCAGGGCAAGTCATTGGGAGGTTTGATAAGTTGTTTAAGCTGTTGAGTGCAAAACGAATGACCTAATATGTAAATAAACGTTCATAGAAGAAAATGGTTAACAAAGATTTCTTAACATTGTTAAAACATAAACCATAAAGGGGAATATTGATAAAAGGGAAGGCATGTACAGAAAAAGCAAAAGCTGAACATCTAAACCCAAATTTGGAGAAAATATAAGCAATGCTTTTAACCAATAAAGGACTCCTAAGCAGAATAAATAATTAACTTCAAGAAACAAACACATACATTGCAAAACGTTAAAGCTGCACAGGTACAGCAAAGTCACCGAAGACAAAACCTAAATGCCACTATACAAAAAGATCTGCACACACCCTCACCAGGATGCAGGGAAATAAAGGCATATCCAGTACATTGACTCAGCATTTCTCAGCCACCCGATTGGCCAAAAATGTAAAGTCTGACGCTATCACGTGTTGACAAATTTTAAAGTCTGACCCTTTGTCAAGTGTTGACAAATACCTCTTGATACGCTGATTGTAAAACTGGTCAAACCCCTCTGCAGAACAAAGGCAAAACCTTCCAAGCAAAGTTCTGCACACCTGACGCGGACCAACACCCTGCTCAGAAGATTAGCGTTGTGTTCTGCAGGACACTCCTCATTACTGTGAGGAGCTAGAGGCCCCTGAATGTCGTGCAATAGGAAAACTTAACTGTAAAAAATATACTACGGAATCTGTACAGCTATTAAGATTATTAAACCAGATTTCACCTGGACTGAGGTTGCTAAGTCTTTAAATACTGAGAAAAAGATTGAAGTACACAGTTAGGATAAAACAATGGTGATTAATGGGCATAAGGAGAGAATAAAAAACAAGTATAGGGAACGCTAGGATAGAAGTTAACTGTGAGGACTGGGCTCCATTATATTTATGTTTTGACTTCTTAAATTGGGTATTAAGTTATTTTTATTCCTGATGCAAATCATCAAAAAAAGATAATGGACGATCTCCTACCTTGTGTTGGCAAACAGTTTTTCTTGTATTTTTCTACCTGGGTTCCTGAAGAAAATTGTCTTTTTTGAAAGCAAATTGATGGGTTCTGTAATAAGAGATCATTTAGAATCTAAGAGTTGGTCTACATAATAGTACAATGAATAAAACTAACCAAACTTGGTTAATGATCAATGTGTTTTAAGTTTCAACATGTACACTGTTTTCAGTTGTCACTACAAAATACAGGTTCCTCCCACTAGGAAACCACTCAGAGCCCAAACCAGCATAAAGTGAAAAAGCAATTACCAATAATTCACGCAGGAAAATTTTTTGTTACGTTTTGGGCTGTTAACCACAAAATTAGTGGTTCAAACTTAACAGCTGCTCCTTGGGAGAAAGTGTAAAGAGTTACAGTCTCAGAAACCCAAAGGGGCAGTCTACCCTGTCCTGCAGGGTCGCTGTGAGTCAGATTCAACTTGATGGCAGTGGGTTTGGTTTTACTTAACCGCAAGTGGACCCTTAATGCAGCTCAGGAATCAGACTAAATTCCCCATCTATTTGCTTTTTCACTTCCGTACACAACTATTACACACTTTCTCCTGTCTCCTCCAGCTCATTCTCAGTGAATGGCTGTTTCCTACATCGATAAGAAAAGGAAAACAATTGGGAAATTCTACAGGCTGCCACCATCTACCTAGTATGTGCTCTGTCTTCTAACAACCCTAAACCAAACCTGCTGCACAGTGTTCTCTGTCATCTGACAATACTGAGGCCACTGAAGGGAATCAGAGACGTTTGTAAACCACAGACACATGAATGGATTGGGTGCTTGCACTTGATTCTGGCCCCAGTCTAAGAACAATTAGTTCCTATGACAAGACCCTGCTTGATGCTCGTCCACATGAAGAGATCACTGAAGATAAGCATGCTACAGCAAAGTGTGGTAAAGAAAGCAGATGATGCCCAGCTATCAAAAAGAACAGCATCTGGGGTCTTACAGGTTTGTCTTCTAACAAGTAGCTAAGTGAGGTGTCAACTAAGTCCACAAGGAAGAAGCACACCAGCCTGTGTGATCCAAGGATTATAAATAATAAAATCCAAATTCAACGGAAGAAATGATATCAGAGCTTTTACTGTGAATACTGGCTGCAAAGGGTTATGGATGACAATGGAAGCCCAAATCCCATTTGCAGGGTCCCTGCATGGATTAAACTAAACCTCCAGGGAGTGCCCTCTGACCATCATCAAGGGATGTGAATAATCCTATCAGAGAGCACTGTAAACTCGATTATGGCAAAGGTAGTTAGGTTATAATGTAATGTCTTATCATTTGGTCCCCCTTTTGACCCATTTAAAGTTGTTTCATATTTTTAAAAGAGAAAACTGAAAGGCAAATAAGCACGGATTGAGCCTCCAGTGAAACCCCTCTGGTCATGGACCAGGGATATGAAGAGTCATGCTAGCATGCAGAGAGCAATGGAAAGTGGACTGTGGCAAAACCAGCTGTTAGGTTGAAATCTACCTCCCTTTGGCCCATTTTAAATAGGTTCTGATTTTTGACATTTCCTGTTTTGTTTTCAGTAGGTCGTTCTCTGATTTATTTTGTTGTTGTTGTTGGGGTTGTGTTTGTTTGGCTCTTGCTGGTTTTATTTTGTGTTTTTCATTATATGAAATCCATCATGGGTGGATCTATAGAGATAGTAACTGGATTAATGGATTATTGGTAAGGGGGCAGGGAAGTTGGGGGGGAATGGGGAGCTGGTAGTAGTGGAAGGAAGAAAATGTTCTGCAACTGACTGGTGATGATTGTGCAACTTTTTAGGATATGATTAAATATTTAAATATTAAATATGATTTAAATAATATGTGAATTATATCAAAACTATTAAAAAGCATTTTTAAAAATAATAAAACAGCTCCCTGTGATCTAAGTATCAGGGGGGGAAAAATAAACCAACCCTGCTGCCATCCAGAAGATGCTGGCACACCGCTGCGCTACACTACAGAGTAGCACTGTCCCCACATTCTGACACTGTAACCTTTCCAGACGCAGACTTTCTCGTGCAGAGTGGCTGGCCATATGCCAGGAAGGCAAAGTGCTTCTTCTAATTCACTAGATTCCATCCTTACTGCTCAGAGGCATTGCTTCAACAGTTCTCCTTACTTTCTCCAAATCGATCCTACTCACTTTTCCATCTTGAAAAACACACACACAAAATGCTTCTCCTCCCACCATTACTCCCCATGTATCACCTTATATTTACAATACTGCAAACCCACTTCAAAGAACTAATAGTTTATATTTTCTCCTCCTCTTTGGTCAATACCAATCAGGCTTTCCTCTGCAACACCCCAGTAGGCTAAAAACAGTGCTTATAAGTCATTCTTGACTCTTTTCTTGCTGTCAAATCCATTTCATCCAATTCATCACAAACACTGTTTGCTTCTCATTGGCTCCACCACTGCCACTCTAATCTACGCTATTAGCATCTCTGCTCTCAATTACCACAGTAGTCCCCGAGCTCATATTGACTGTATGAGCTTAGAACTATCCCCCCTATGTCTATAGCTGCTATAGGGTGAACTGACTAAATCAAAATGTGTAGGGTATTCCTTTATTTTATTCAAAGCCCTCCAGTGGCTTTCCATTTTACTTCTCACAATCATCCCTGCCCTCCATTTCCTCTATCCTGTTAAAGCTCTAACCCTACTCGCCTCCTACCACTGGCCCCATTCACTCTGCCCCACCTGCACGAGCCTCCTTGCTATGTCTCAAACCCACCAGGTAACCTACTGACACAGGCCCTTCATGTCTGCTGCTCCATCTCCTGTCGCACTCTTCAGCCAGGGGACAGCATGGCTTCCGCACTCACTTCCTTCAGCTCACTGTTCAAGTATCACTTTTTGAGGAAGGCCTTCCGTAGTTATCCTCTTTAAATTACATCCCTTCCTGGCTTTTTCTCCTTAGCTTATTATTTGTAGTCTTTGTACCACTAGAACATAGGTTCCCTGAGGGCAAGGAATCTTGTCTCTTTTGCTCAGTGGTATTACCCAATGCCTAAAACCGTGTCTGGCACATAATCATTGCTAGCACAGAAGAATGGAAGACCAATTACTTGATTTTAAAAGATCACATGCATGTGACTTTCTACAAAAACCTAACAGATTTTAACAGATTATACTACCTGTACAGCAATGCTCAAACAGTTTTCACATCGACCCATGATGTGACGATCCCACTGAGCCTCTAAACTTACCACAGACTCATCTTTTCTCACAGGAGCTGCACACGGGTCTGCCTTTAGGCTGCTTTCAACAGCTTCTGCCCGTTTCCACGCATCTAGCCGAAATCTTTCCATCACTTTTATTTCCTCTCGAAGGTCCGTGTTCTCTTTGACTAGCATTTCTATCTGGCTCCTAAGGCGGCTATGTGTGCTTGACCATTTTGCTTCTTTTCTTTTCAGATCTTCCTGTAGATCGGCTATCTGCTGTTTTAAAGCCTCCAGAGGCCAGGGAAGGGGCAAAAATTAACACCATGTCATACACGAATACAACTACATCAATGAGACAGAACAGTCAGCCCCAGCAGATCCTATAATATAGCCTACAGAAAATGTCACTCATCACAAAAAGAAGGCCCAGTCAGTCGGTGACATCTGTATAGTACTGTACAGTCCATCGAAGGTTTCGGGAGAGAGAAGACAGGAACCACTTTAGAGCCTCACCTCACCTCACCTCACAACAAAACTGACTCCAGAAGACAGACACCACTGAGGAGTCCGACGCAATTATACTGCCGTGAGCTAGTAATGATCTTCACGAAGATGTGGAGAGACGTACAATGACGGCACAATTAACAGGAATTGATGACTAATTGAAGGAAGTGTTGAGGTACTGAGAAAAAAGGATTCTGTATTCCAAACTAGCTGCTCTAAACACTGATTGTTTCAAATGCACAAGAAGCAACAGGTTTTAAATAAGTTGCTTTAAATCATACGCTTCCAAATTTATTTGGCCTACCACCCTTTTTCGGGGGGTAGGGGGGACGACTACGCGGTGCCCTCTGGCAAGTAAT